GCCGCGCCCCCATCCCCTCCCCTTCTGCAGCCATGGGCAGGACCCAGGTGTCCTGGCCGCCTGTGCTGCCCGCTCTACCCACTGGGCAAGGCTGCCTGTTGAGGCAGCAGTGATGTGCTGGATTTCACCCCTTTGGGAGCTCAGCTGCCTGGCTCCCCTGGCCCTGGCTGCCCCCGCACCCTCCCTGCCCCGCACCGGGGAGCCCGACCTTCTCGTAGTGCGTCTCCATGCAGAGGAAGATGAAGTAGGCGGTGGCGCAGGCCAAGCAGCCCTCCAGGTAGGAGCTGCCCCCAATCTTCTCGGCCTCAGCGTAGTAGTTGTTGAGGGTCTTCACCGTCTCCTCGAAGAGCTGGCGCTCGATCTGAGGGGGTGGGGAGGGTGGGTGAGGGGCGCAGGGCACGGGCATGGAGCCGGGCAGCCCCAGCAGCTTCCCTCGCCCCGCACTGCCCCAGCCTTAGGGTCAGAGAATCAAAGCCGTGGGGACCTGCGGGGTCACAGCCGGCCCGACCCCCACCTGGGGCAGTATCAGCCCCGTCCAAACCAGCCCGGACAAACCCCGTGTCCGACACAGTCGCCCCTGCCCCTGGGATACAGGGGGGCCGCGGCCACCAATGTCCTGCTACTGCCGGGGGGTCAGGGATGCTGAAGAGAGCCCAGGCCCAGGCCGTGCCCCCGCTGCAGAGGAAGGCAAAACCCCCCAGTCTGGACCAGTCTGAGCAGGGGGGCAATCCTGTCCTGCCCCAGTGCAGTGCGCGGCTGAGCCCGAGCGCGGGGGCAAGACCCTCCTGCCAGGACCCTGCGGGGTTGGTGCCACAGGAGCACTGGCGCAGCCCAGCCCCAGCCCCAGCACGGGCTGCAGCGCCAGCGCCTCGGGGGGAGGCTTCGGCCCCCTGACACCTGCAGCTAGAGGAGAGGGCAAGTCCCCCACAAGGCAGCCTGCAGAGCCAGAAGCCTGGGAGACCCCAGGCCCCTCCGCTCTGCCCTGCGGCCAGCAAGCAGGACCTGCACATCCACCCTGACTGCGGGGCCAGAGCTCCCCTGTCCGTGCCCCCTCCATGAGCTTACCCCGGTGCCTTTAACCTCCTGGCAGCACCAGGCCCCTGCGAGCTCTGCTTCCTTCTCCTGCCGCTGAGCATGGTCCCCCAACACCCTCTGCGCTGGGCTGCAGCTCTTCTCATCATCTCCCAGCCACGTGTGTCCGGAGCGGGGTCCCGGGCCTCCAGCTGCTGCTCTTCACAGCGCGCTCCAGGCACGGCTGCTCCTAGGTCCTCCCTGCCCAAGGCTTACCCGGCCTCCTCTCAAACACCCCCAGCAGTGGAGAGCTCACCCCTTCCCTGGCGTCTCTCCCACGGCTGCCACGCTCTGACAGCAGTGCCCAAGTGCTTCCTGGTCTCCAAACTAAACCTGCCTTGCTGCCACTTCAAGCCACTGCTCCATGTCCTCATCTCTGCTTTCCCTCTTCTCTCTGGCAGCCCCGCAGGGATTTGCAGAACGCTCTCATGTCCTCTCTTAAATACCTTTTCCACAAGCTGAACATGCATTGCCCAGCTCCTTCAGCCTCTCCTCCCGTGACTTTACCTTCCAAGCCATTGATCATCACGTTGCTGCCTTTGGACCCTCTCTGACTTCTCCGCATCGATGTAAAAATGGAGCCCAGAACAACACACCAAGCTCTAGCTGAGGCCTGGGCCATGCCAAGCAGAGGCCCCAGCACCCCTCCTTGTCTTGCACCTCATGCTCCTATTTTATTGATGCAGCCAAAACCGCGTTGGCCTTTTGAGCGGCTGCATCACAGGGCAGAGTCAGCTGCACCAGGACTCCCAGCTCCTTCTCTGCAGCGCTGCCACCCAGCCAGGTGTCCTCCATCTCCTACTTGTGTTGTGATCCTTCTTCCCCACGTGCAGCACTTCGCATGTGTCAGCCTTGAGCTTCATCCTGCAGCCTCCAGCCCGGCTTCCCCTTCTAGCAAGAGCCTTCTGAAGTGCACTCCTGATGTCGCTTAGGCAGGCCTCAAAGGGAGCATTAGTGCTGCTCCGGGCGCTGCATTTTAAACAGGACGTGGAGAAGTCAGAGAGTGTCCGGGGCGGGTGACAAAGGTGATCAAGGGCTTGGAAGGCAAGTCCAATGAGGAGGGCTTGGAAGAACTGGGCACGTGAGGTGCTGGAAAGGGGACATGAGAGTAGCTTGCAAGTCCCTGAAGGGCTGCCACGAAGAAGAGGGAAAGCCCCCGTTCTCTCCTGCCGCAGAGCAGGATGCGCAGCAAGGGCTTGAACTTGCAGCAAAGCAGGTTTAGACTGAAGCACTTGAAATAACAGAAACATAGACAACGAGGGCTGGAAGGGACCTCAGGGGGTCACATCTAGTCCAAGCCCCCGCTCCAAGCAGGACCAGCCCCAGCTCCATCATCCCAGCCAAAGCTTGGCCTACCTGGGTTTTGAAAACCTCCAAGGATAGAGCTTCTCCCTGATCTCTGGGGAGCCTGCTCCAGTGTTTTACGACCCTCCTACCGAGAAGATTCTTCCTAATATCCAACCTCAACTTCCCTTGCTGCAGCTTGAGCCCATTGCTCCTTGTCCTGTTGTCTCACCCCACTGAGAACAGCCCAGCTCCGTCCTCTTTGCAGCCCCCTGGCAGGGAGGGGAAGGCTGCTATTCAATCCCCCTCGGTCTTCCCTTCTCCAGACTCAATCAGCCCAGGTCCCTCAGCCTCTCCTCACCAGTCCTGTCCTCCAGCCCCACAACCATTTTCATTGCCTCCGCTGGACTCTCTCCAATGTGTCCACATCCTTTCTGTAGCGGGGGCCCACAGCTGGACACAGGACTCCAGATGTGGCCTCCACAGTGCTGAATAGAGAGGAAGAATCACCGCCCTCCATCTGCAGGCACTGCTCCTGCCCATGCAGCCCGGGATGCTGGCAGCCTTCCTGGCACAAGGTGCACTGCTGGCTCCTGTTCAGCTTCTTGCCCCCTGCCCTCCCAGGTCCTTTTCTGCAGAGCTGCTGCCCAGCCCGTCACCCCCAGCCTGCACCGGTGCAGGGGATCGCTCCCTCCTCAGTGCAGCACTTTGCACTTGTCCTTGTTGAACCTCACGGGATTTCTTTTGGCCCGGTCCTCCAGTGTGTTCAGGTCTCTCTGAATCCTAGCCCTACCCTCCAGCGTATCTACTACTCCCCCAGCTTGGTGGCACATGCAGACTTGCTGAGGGTGCATCCATCCCATCTTCCAGGTTGCAGATGAAGACATTGAACAAAACCGGCTCCAGGACCAACCCCTGGGGCACTGCACTTGATACCAGCTGCCAACTAGACATTGAGCCATTGATCACTACCCTCTGAGCCCGATGCTCCAGCCAGTTTTCTGTCCCCTTCACAGTCCAGTCATCCAGCCCGTACTTCCTTAGCTCACCTGCGACAATGCTGTGGCAGACCGTATCAAAAGCCTTGCTAAAATCCAGGTACACCACATCCCCCGGGCTGCCCACATCCACAGAGCCAGCCACCTCCTCGTAGAAGGCATCAGGTTGGTCCGACATTATGCCCCTGGTGAATCCACGATGACTGTTTCTTGTCCCCCAAATGCTCCAAACAATCCTGGCTTGCCTGTGCACTGCTGTATTGCCTTCCCAGCAGAGGTCAGGGGGATTGAAGTCCCCCATGATTGGGGGACTCCCAGGAGCTGTCTGAGCAGGGAGGCAGTGGGAGAGATGCCAGGGAAGGTGTCGACTCTCCATCACTGGATGTGTCTGAGCAGGGGCTGGACGAGCACTGGGCAGGGCTGGTCTGGGAGCAGCTGAGCCCGCAGCGGGCTGTGAAGAGCAGCAGTTGGAAGCCAGCCCCCCTCAAGCACATCTGGAGACCACAAGAAGAGCTCTGCGACCCAGAGCAGGAGGAAATCGGAGGGCAAGCAGAGCCCCACACCCAGCCTGGTCACGGAACAGGATTAAAAAGCAGGGACCAGTTCGTGGAGGGGGAGAGGTGACAGGCAGGGCACTGCTGGCTCTGCAGTCGGGAGGATGTGCGGGTCCTGCCTGATGTCCCCAGGCTGCAGGGCAGAGCGGATGGGCCTGGTGTTTCCGAGGCTTTTGGGCTCTGCTGGCTGCTTCATGGGGCCAGGAGGTGAGTTTTTTCCTCTCCTGTTGCTACAGGACTCAGGGTTTTCCCTCCTTGCTCACCAGCACCGGATGCCAGCTGCAGCCCAGGCTGGGGATGGGGCTGGGCTGTGCCAATGCTTCTGCTGGCATCAACCCCGCAGGGTCCTGGCTGGAGGGTTTTGCCCCTGTGCTCAGGCTCAGCCCCAGCTGCACTGGGGCAGGAAGGGATTTCCCCTTGCTCACACTGGTCGCACTGCGGGGGTTGCCTTCCTCTGCATCCTTCCTTCATCTCAGTGCATTTTAACAACCACCTCCTGACCTGGCAGGGGCAGGGCGCAGGCCGGGCTCTCATCCCCCTGCTCTACCTGGGGCCGGTCATGGCAGACCCTGTGGACCCTGTCTGACACCTCTGGGCTGGCCTCATGCATCAGGTGCAGGTGTTTGCACACCTGCTACTGCACTGCCCACCCTCCCCAGCACCCCAAAAAGGATCTCACAGCACCCCAGCATGGCCCAGCTCCCCGGAGGGGAATCCTGGGGTTGGACCCACCCTCGCCTGGCCTGCACTAGTCAGGGCTGCTCCTGCCACGAGCCAGGGTGGGACTCGATGTGGCCTCCTGAGCGGTGCTGGGAGCCTAAGAGGAACCTGCATGGCTGGGGCAGAGTGGCAGCATGGGGGCTGTGCTACCCTGGGGGGGGGCCACTCGTGCTGGGGTAGTGCTGCGTGTGCATATGCATGTGTGTGTGTGCATGTGTGAGTGCACGTGCATGCGCATGTGAGTACACATGCATAGGTGTGTGCATGCACATGTGTGTGAATTCATGTGGATATATGCATGTGTGCATGTGTGTGAGTAGATGCATGGGTGTAAATCCATGTGCATGTGTGTGTGAATGCACGAGCATGTGCGTGTGGATGCAAATGCATGGGCACGTGTGCACACATGAGCGTGTTAACCCTTTCTTCTCTGGCAGAACAACAGCATTCAGCACCTGGCTAGCCCCCAGCACCCCGCACAACCCTGACCCCCCCACATAAACCCCCAGCCTGGCCCCGACCCTGACCCCGGTCCCAGCTGACCACGGCCCGGCTCCTTGCTGCCCTGGCAGAGCGGGGGGCACTGGGGGCGGCAGGGGGGCACAGCAGGAGCCTCCCAGGCAGACAGGCACTGGCCCCCGGAGCCCCTGCCCGGCCGAGGGGACCTACCCGGCTGTCCAGCTCCGGGGGGAACTTGGTCTGGAACTGGCACGTGGTGCCGTCGCTGTAGTCGCGCTGCACGAAGACCTTGGTGGCCAGCGAGGCGCTTCGCCGCAGCTCCTGCAGGTTGTGCACCTGTGCCGGGGGGGAGGGGGCGGTCACACGCGCCCC